CCCCCAAAAAAAGGACAGTAAATAAATAAAAGATGGTATATCGATATCTCGTAAACTTATCAACGGAAATTCAGGAAATTCACACAAATATTGCAGAAAATCATTAAAATTATTAAAAATTGTTCGTTAAAGTATCACACATCCTTTTTCTAGATATATTGCGTGTATTCAATAGTTGGCTTACGTAGGACAGGCAAAAGATTTTTGCATCCTTCATGAGTAAATGAACTTGTTTCCAAAATACTGAAGTACCGAAGATCCCGTACCATCACGATCACGGAGAGTAGATGATGATTGTCCTCATTTAAAATGCGGAAAATAGTTGGCGCATGTCTGGCATTTCTTTTGTAAGACAACAAAGAACGATTTTAATTTGGCAAAATGAAAATTTCCTGCAATTGAAAAATCCAGAATTTGGCTGAATTTTTTCGTAAAGCCACCAAATTTCTACAACATAACTTGTTTGCTCCAAAGGTAGGTATTACAATTTTTGTATTTCAGTTTATGTTAATTAAGATTTGCCACATGCTCGTTAGCGTGTCGGTTATTATGCAACTAAAAGCCGCCCATCTTTACAAGTGTGTTTCCGGCAGAAACATCGAATAATTAGGTAAGCATTTTAAAATTTTCGGTATCGATCTTCGTTATTATTCGTCACGTGAATGGGTATAGCACTTGGATAAATTTTGCTATTATCGTGTGGGCCGATTTTTTCGATTTTTGTCGATTATGACCCTCAAAATTGCCAAATTTGGTTTAATTCTGGTCAAATTTGCAGATCATTTAGCCCTTGTAATGAGTTTTAAAACTCATTACAAGGGCCAAATTATCTGCAAATTTGACCAGAATTAAACCAAATTTGGCAATTCTGTGCGACAAGTATCCCACGATGTGTCATCAATTAAAATTATTAGCGTTATCTCTTATCGTTATTCCAGAAAAGGAAATCACGAAACATCAGCAAGTCTATTTTATGAGTCATAAAAAAGTGTAATTAATTTGTTTCTTTTGATGTCCGCACGAACTAGTATAAACGCGATTAGAATCCTGATCAATCATTAATATTCCCCACAATATTGCCGCATTAATGTCTACTGTTGACTTGAAAATAAACAAAGTTCCAATCCGAATAAATTGTCATCCATTCATCCGTATCTGAACTATCCAAATAATCCAGGTCGGATAAATTCAGATTGGATACTTCGGATAACAGATAACGGATATCTGATAATTATCCGGATAAACACTTAATGGATTGATGATGCTGGTGAAACTGGTGAGATGGTGGTGAAATTTAATATAACAGCCAATCAGATTTTAGATAGTCACCAGTTTCACCAGCGTTATTTAGTTTCACCAGCATCTATAATTGGAACTCTATATAGTATAAAAAAAAGGGTAGTTTTTGAGATTATGATAATAGCGATAGTGGTAGGTGTCAATTCACTGGTGGCGCGTACGATGCGTGGATAATGTTACTCCTGATATAGTAAAGATTCAATGAATTCTTGAATTGTTAATTTCTGTTCAATAAGTATTTAAGCTATACGTAGTGAACTTTTTTTTTTCTTGACTCGATGATTGTACAGATATAGAAGTATTAAACCATTGAATTTTCACAAAACTTTAAAAACAAAATTACCTTTGATTATGGAAATATGTTTAACTCGATAGCAGTCAACATATTTGGCCTTTCGTCTTCCGCTACTTACTCTATTATTTACTGCGCAACTTTGTCGGCGGTTCATCAT